TGAACAAGGATGTTGAGTGTCTGCATCATCATGAATAGTAGTTGATGAATGGTCTTGCCAAAGATAAAAGGAAAAAAAAACAACACAAAAGATTTCAATAATTCATTTGATCACTTATGGTACAGTAGCTTTTAGAAATGATTAGATTTGAAACTTTGAATTGCATAACTTTTTTTCATTATTTTCCTTAATAAATATTTGATAATTATTATTCTCATATATTTAGGAGCACTGAATGTGCGACTGACATATCACCACCAATCATAAAACGTTACATTTGTTTTGCATCTGAGAATGATCAGTAGTATGAATCACTCTCTCATACATTGTTAGTGGGGCATAGATGGAATTGAAGCATGACTACGTTGCTGAGCGCTGGTCGGCTAATTTCCTATCCAATCAGCGCCTGATCGATTATTGGAGAACAGGATAGAAAATTCTCGTGCTGTTAGCTGCACGCTGATTGGCTAAATCTAATACAGTCGATCACGTGAATTACAATCCAGAAGCTTCCCATGTAAATACTATAAAGAAACTAACGTGTCTATTTCGCATTCGCCTTCGGCTTTTTATTCCATTTAACCTTGCTATTTTCCTGTTCCACCGTGTTTTTGATCCTTTGGAACTTGTCCAATGTACTGTGGTCAGAGAATACTAAGCAATAGGAATTAGCTGGGAATTATTTAAGCGAAGCGTTAAAACATACATATTTAGCTCTCCACTGTGATAATGCATTAGATTTTGGAGCAACTCATCAAATTCTATTGGTTCATGATTTTGACTACTCGTCATTACCTCCGTCATGTGATAAAAATTCATATTTAAATAATACTTTACTGTTTAGTAATAATGATTGATATTAGAATCAACAAGTATACGTTCTATAGTCGTTATGATTTATCAGCAAGCAACATATATTAAAGGCATCATGAATTAACTGAGTATGGGATTGTTACGACTGCACGTAAACATGTCATTTTGATATGCTTGAATTATTACGAGTTTATCGTAGTCGGAAAATGAGAGCGAGGACCAACGGTCCGGCGACAAGACATGCTACTCTAATCCAATTGTCCCAACCCCCATTGAGTAAAAGAAGAAGACTTGATATGAAGTAGAAGAACATGCATTCTACAAGCATCCAGAAAGTATGAGGTTTGAGTCCAGAAGAGGCTGAGGACCCCGGACTATAGATCCGGGTCCGGGTCATAAAACGTTACAGATAATGCGTATTTATACAGTTAGATCGAATAGGAAACAACATTGAAGTATGTGACATTGATATCTAGGACGACCATAATATTGAACAGTAGGATAGAATTAGACTTACAAAAATAATTCCTTTAGGATATTTCATGAATATCCTACAAGGGAAATTACCATTGCTGTTATTATTTGTCAAGATTAGTTATTATTATTCTTATTTATTATTGTAAGTCTTTTTACTGTCAAAATATGTACATTTTTACATATGAAAATCATCAATCAATCATTGTTAGACCACCATTAGAAAACTGGAAGCATTGGACAGCCGTTTCGTCCTGGTATGGGACTCATCAGCAATGCGCATCCTGCAACATCCGAACCCAGGACCTTCGGTTTTGTACGCGAACGCCTAACTTCTGGACCACTGGGCTGGCGGCATCCAACGGTGTTAGTGTCTAACTCTGATCAATCTAGGCAGATGAGTCCCACACTAGGACAAAGCGGCCGTCTTTCAGTGCTTCCAAGTTTCTAATGGTGGTCTAACAATGATTGATTGATTGATTGATGATTTCAATGTATAACTTCATTTTGTCAATATTTCAATTAAATCTAATCTTGTATAAATACCGACAGCAAAAAAATGTAAATGAAACTTATTTGATAAATTTTAAGTTATATAAAACATAAGTACTAGATCTTTTCATTGATCAGTACGTAAAGTACTTTAATTACACACATTTTACATTTTAGAGTCAGTTAAGTGATGATAATTAAATTGATAATTTCGATTCCTTTCAACTAGTGTACAATTTCGAGTGAGCATGATGTATGTAAGAAAATTTGAATAAATATTACAAACAATTTAGAGTATTATAATAATTAAGAAGAAATGTGATAAGTTAAGCCGTTTAAAAAAATACAAATCAAATGGAATATGTGACTGGTAAATTTAATCAATAGTAAAACAAATTAACCAAAGTTCGGAGGAATGAGAGGTCGTTTTATGCCAGTTAACGAATTTCAGCACAAAAAATATACAAAATAACCATACAATTCCTGTTTTATAGGCGAAAATTCTCTCTCTCTCTCTCTCTCTCTCTATATATATATATATATATATATATATATATATATATATATATGCACAAATCTACTGTATGGAGCGGAAACTTGGAGAACTACGAAAGCCATCATCCAGAAGATACAAGTGTTTATTACCAGCTGTCTACGCAAAAGACTTCGGATTCGTTGGCCAGACACTATCAGCAACAACGTACTGTGGCAGAGAACAAACCAGATTCCAGTACAGGAGGAAATCAGGAAGAAGCGCTGGACTTGGTGGATAGGACACACACTGAGGAGAGCGTCCAACTGTATCACAAGACAAGTCCTCACTTGGAACCCTCAAGGTCAAAGGAAAAGAGGAAGTCCAAGCAACACATTACGCCGAGAAATAGAGAAAGATATGAGAGGAATTAACAAACATTGGACAGAACTGGAAAGGGAGGCCCAGGACAGAGTTGGTTGGAGAAAACTGGTGGGCGGCCTATGCTCCATTGGGGGTAACAGGCGTAAGTAAGTAAGTAATATATGCACAAATGCTTGAGAATATTTCTTTGTTAACGATATTTTTATTTCATAACAGAATGTATTCAGCGTATGAATCTCACTGTAATCACCGTTCATCTCTCCAAAGGATAGAGGAAGAGTAAATCATACGGACTACCTTTGAGGTACATTTTGAATTTCTTAACTGTTAGATTGATATTTAGGTATGTAAGTATATACATGGTTGATAGACATGATTAGTTAGTTTAAACAAATTTGAAAGTTAATTTTTTTTTATTACTAAATTTGGCAAGTGGCCATATAGATGATGTTTAGAATGGACATTTTGTCTGGTTTCGGATTTGTTGGTAGGACATACTGGAACAGAAAGTATCAACTCTTACAGATAAGATTGATACCCAATACACAACTTGGCTAGTTTAGTACATAATGCATTGATGGTTGAAATGAAAGATATTGGATTAGCGACTCAGTACTAACAGCAACAACAACAACAACATTAGAATGCAAGAGCAATTAAGTTAAATTAACTCCAAATAGTACGAAACGGCTTCTTCGACCCTACTGATAGCCAGATACATACCAAACGTATCTCATAACTTATGACTAAAGACTGATTCAGGGAGATTGGTTCAAGGTGCGTAAATGCTATTAGAGACTGATCGATTGTAATCCCTAACACCGACAACCAGGAAATACCTACCCTCATAAATAAGATCTAAAATAAGAAAAATGTATAGAAAAAAGAGAGCCCAGAGGTTTGCTCACACTGCCACATGTGCAATGTTTTAGTGCACTTAACCTACACAGAAAATAAAGTCATTCTGTAAAATGTTCCCATATAAACGAGAAATAGATTACCTCCCCAGATATATACTTATGTTAGGCTCTAGACAGCTCATGGTGAACTGTCATCAGAATTTATTACTTCAAGTAGTGCCCGTCAGTGTTACCCACTTTCTCCATTCTTGTTCAACTTTGTCATTGACATGCTTTTAGAGATAATATTATCTGCGTCTGACAATTTAGGGGTGGACCTTCTGAACAGTAGACTCGCTTGTTGACTTAGAATATGCCGATGACATAGTTCTATTTGACGGGTGTTACTCCCAATGGGGTATAGGCTGCCAACCATCAATTTTCAACCTACTCTGTCCTGGATAGTCTTTTCCAATTCTATCCAATTTTCGTTCAATCTTCTCATGTCTGTCTCTATTTCTCGGCGTAATGTGTTCCTTGGCCTTCCTCTTTCCCTTTAACCTTGAGGATTCCAAGTGAAGTCTTGTCTCGTAACGCAGTTGGGTGTTTTCGTCAATAGATGTCCTATCAACCTCAAGTGCTTTTTCCTAATTTCTTCCACAGTAGGTTGATGCTGATGGTGTCTAGTCAACGGATCCGCAGCACCTTGCGTAGACAACTCTTAATAAACAAATGTATCTAGTGGGTGATGCCTTTCGTAGTTAAACAAGTTTCCACCTCAAACAGCTAAAGCCTTGAAATTTGTATTGAAAATTATGACTTTGGTGTTTGTCGATAGCTTTTTTGAGTTCTAGATGCTCTTCAATTGTAATATTGCTGCCCTTGCTTTGCCAATCTGCGCCTTCATATCTGCATCATATCCACTTCGCTCATCAATGAGGCTGCTAATATATGTAAAGGTTTCTACATCCTTCAAAGCTTATTCGTCAAGTGAGATTTTGTTTTTTTCCTTGTGCATGTTGAGCTTAGTGCTGAATAAGGTGCTGCTACACTGACCGTCTTCTGCATTTGTTGTGGGTGGAATAGAGGCGCCAGTCCATCTGCAAAGTCCGAGTCGTCCAGCCACATCCGAGCTGTCTACTGTATTCCATGCTTCCCGTGAGATGTCGACATTTTCATAATACAGTAGACTACCAGGAGAAAGAGAAAGAGGTGTGACAGTAAGCAACCTTGCATGACACTGGTGGCCTTCACTTGAAACAAGTCTGTGAGCTGTCCTCTGTGCACACAATCTTACAGTTTACTCCATCATAAGAATTGATAATGTAAAAATTGACCAATGGCAATCAGAGAATAACAAATCACTAATACAGACTTACTATGAAATGCTTCATTCGATGCTTGAACAACATAATCATCATCATCATCATTATTATGAATATAAGTGTCACAATTCAACTGGCGTATAAGAAAACGTCGTCTTGTCGCCACATACGACATAGTCACTTCATCGACATCATTAACGGAACCGACAATTCCAAGTGCATTAATTAAACGTCGTGTAGATGATAAATGATCTACAGTTTGTTTAATCGATGAAAGATGTGATGTTGGTGTTGATGTCCGATGGCTATGACCTTCTTCAATAATTTGATTTAGCTTTTGCGGAGTATTATTGCTGTTATTGTTAGTATTGACACATTCCAAAAATTTTAATTCTGTATTAATGTTACATTCATTCAACGTTAAAGGTGTATTTAAATTGTGCTTTTTTGTTTTCATTTCTAACAGATCTGTATTCAAAGATGGATTTATTTCTGAATCATCAGAAAATGTATCCATTGGTAACATTTCCCAATAACGGCTTGTTTCATCCAAAGAGGTGAGATCTTCAATTGATACTTCTACAATTTAATACAGATATAAAATGAAATTTATTGAAGGCGGCTTTTTTGAAATTAATTTAAGTGTCGAGTGAACGAAGACGAAGAGACGAGATTGAACAGTAGCGTATTTTGAAATGTAACAGTTTACGAACAAAATGTGTACACCTTATCTCCAGATATTTAATTACAAAGCAAACAGATAACTGATTGTATTCTTTCACTTTCATGGAGCCGTACATTCGGATCCAACACCCTAATAACAATGCTGTTATTAGGAAACGGGTGGTAGATAAGGATGGCAGATCAATAGATGAAGTAATGAAACTTCGTCAGTTGAGGTGGTTGGGACATGTGTTACGTAACCATCGACTGCCACGACGAGCTATGTTTTGTGGTGTAGGAGTAGATTGGAAGAAATTTAGGGGCGGCCAGACCAAAACATGACAGCAATCCATGAAGTCATTGACAATTGGACTGAGTCATGTCAGTAGTTATCGACTACCTGGTTGGGGTCCGCGAGATGATAATAATCGATGGTTAGAGACCCTGAATGACATGGCTTAAAACCGTTTGCAGTGGTGCAGGTGCATTCATTGATTGTGTCCTCCCGAATCCTAAACTTTTTAATTCTTCATCACTTTATCTTTCTAAGTCTATTTCACTAGATTCTACTTCTTGAATAATATCTTCTAATCCTAACCTCTCCGACTACTGCTAATACCTCTACTACTATTGGATTCGAACTGACGGTTACGTATCTGTGCTAATGTGGTATAACAACATGAACTGATGTACTTACGTACGAAGTTCTACGTTGCGATTGATTGATTGATTGATTGAATTTCAGGCAGTAACTTCTAGACATTCCAATGAATATTAGTTATAAGCCACGTTGGGAGCAGTACCCACCACACCAGGATTGCTGAATAAAGACTATAAATGTTCAACTTACAAATAACAGTCGAAAATATCAATAATCATTGCAGTATTATCTTTTAACCAATTATTTATTCCGACACAATTATTGGTACAAAGGTTCAGCGATACACGGATGCACCACACAAATGACTCAATTTGTATGTGGACTGAAATAATATCGGTGAGATAAAACCGATGCAAGTAGTTGTATAAGGGAACTACTACTCCTCAAACCTTTTGCCTACAAGTTCAACCCACAATGCAATGGGGCAACACCAGTGAATGCAGTTCCATGATAATCGGTCACCAACAATAAGTTATTACGTTATCTATTCCCTGATGATTGCGGAATACATGTGCACTAGTGGTTTCGAATAAGGATTTTCCATTGCTTTAGGTGGATCCTGCGCACTCACTAGGTATCGTAAATCCGCTTTTCAGCATCCCGATTTCGTAAACAACACCTCTGTCATGAGAAGAGTGATTCGGACTTCCCTGACAATGGTTATATGCATGTGAACAAATGAGAGCATTTCGGGAGAACGAACTCTCTCATTGTCGGTTGTACCGGGGCATAAGGGGGCTGTAACACAATATTTGTTGGTTACTGTTGAACGATTTTGCTTCTTTCTGTGTTACAATCGCTACAGGTGTATTAGTTCTTTTAAAAAAATCCACATCAAAGAATTGCTATATTCAAGATTGTTAACTATTGATCAACATTTCATGATAAACGATTTTGATTGACATCTCGAAAAAATACAACTGTTAATTATTTTATGAAGGAAGTTTATTTTGTTAATCACACTCAAGTAGTATGATGAATGATAGAAATCGGTAAATGGAGAATTGAATGAACTCTACACTGTATTCATCAATCTCTACTTTCTAGTAGACAATGTCAAAATATGTACATTGTTCAAACATTACAACATCAAATTCAGAGAAACGTAAGTGTGGCATAAAATGCAAACAAATTTCGTACCTACCTGGTACACTGCATATACATAAAACTGTTGAACTACAAATAGCAAATGAATCAAGCAATTGACATGATTTTTGATCAACACGTACAATACTAATTAAACTTTTTATTCTTGTTGAATTATCTGAACCGGTGAACATTGTAGATGATGATGATGATGTTGATGATGTCGACGATGATGAAGCAGAAGATGGGGCTTTTATTGTTGTTGTTGTTGTTAAACCATGTTTCATAGAGAAAGAACTTAACCAGATAATATTGGATTGAGCATCTGAAAACTAAATATGAGGAGAAAGATGATTTATCGATTTCACAAACTGTTATGCTCGTTAGATTGATATGCTTGAAACTATTACAAGTTCACTTTAGCCGGTAAGGAGAGCGAGACAGTGATCCAGTGACACGATAGGAGGCTACTTTAATCCGTCGCCCCCTCTAAATGAAGAAGAAGTTTTGATATGGCCTAGAAAGTGTATTCTATAAGCACCCAGAAAATACGATATCTCAAGCACACAAATCAAGTTTATTTATGCATCATTGAAACGTCCTAAGGAGAGCCATAAATTAGCGTACTCAAATAACACACTAACCAATCACAGTTAAGGATTTTCATGGTAGGAAATGTAATCTCAAGTTCAACTGATAAGCCCATGAATAAAATCCAAAATGAGGACCTTTATCAAGTGAATTCTGAGGATCTAACGTCCGCAACACAAACAGAAATTTCGAGTTAGCCTTTTTATGCGTTTACTATATATATATATATATATATATATATATATATATATATATATATATATATATATATATATATATATATATATATATATATGGGATATTAGAATGACTGGACAATATTTCAAGTGATTAGGAAAAAAAACCGAAAAACAACACTATAGAATTGGTCTCAGGCGAATTGTTTCCTACTAAAGAGATGTATTAAGGAAATGAGTTTTTCCCCTTATTCAAATTTATTTAGTTTACCACTTAATTATGAGTACAAAAGGTCACCTATATATATATATAAATTAAAGGCTTAACCTGATTTATTCTTGATAGTAAAGGAATGTCTATGGAGTGGTGTACTTGAAAGTAGAAAGAGTTCGATTTACTTGAGTTGGCTGTTTGAATCTTTTCAATGATATTTAGCACTGCGATTGATCATTCTATATGGATGGCTTCGAAATTCCATTTAGTTTACAAACATTATTAACAGAGATGGATAGTGGTTAGCAGTAGAATGCGTTGTTCTATTCGTTGTGGGACTATACTGCTAACAATGATTCCTCATTGCTAATAATGCTTGTAACCTAGAGGCAATATTGAAGCAATCTACACAGGATGCATATATACTTGCCAAAAAGACTGATCAATTGTAGTTCAACAAATCAATGGAAGGATTCAAACAAGCAATACACATGAACTAATATAACAATGGTAGTTGTTCAGTTATTAGTATATCCCGGGTATAACTTTTTGTCTTAACAGATAGTAATGTAACTGAAACTCCGCCTGGAGTCCCTCCGGGGCTACTGCCGGTTCCAAGCCCGGATAAAGGAGGAGGGTTTGCCGTGGGGTTGGCGACCTCATCCAACAGAAAACTAACTGGCTAAAAATCGCTAACCGATGTCCCTTCTTACAACCTTATCGTTCAAGGTCTCTAACCATCAGTGACTTTCGTCTCGAGGACCCTAACCAGGTAGTCTACATCTACCAACATAACTCAGTCCACTTGTTAGTGACTTCATGGATTTCTGCCATGTTTTGGTTTGGCCGCCCCTAACTTTCTTCCAACCTACTCCTACCTACACCACAAATCCCAGAACTCAAGTAACAGTCAGACAAGTATTTAAAACAATAAGAGAGAGATTTCCAATGCATCTTAAAAATCCTCCAAACTTTAGGCAGAATGATCGAACACAAATAACTGGTTAGTAATTTTTTATAGGCTGAAACTAGTTCAAGAACGTTTGATAAATTCGACTAAAGTCGAATCTTTGATATTTAAGGTCTTATGAAGAGAGAGAATGAAAAAAAAACATTAAAACTATCGAATTGTTATTTCCAATGATTTTCTCAACAATGTAAGCTCTGTGACATGGGCTTAAAAATCACAAAAACATGACGATGAACAAAACTTACTTGATCGTCGATTACCATTGAATAATCTGAATTCTGATCACTAGGTTGATTATTCATCGATTTCCTCAAATTTTCTACTCTCGACTTTTGTTTTTTAAATGATTCATGATTCGCATTACCGGATGTAGACAATCTGGAATGATCATCATCGACACTCGGGGATTCTAGTCGATTTCCAACGGAACTAGCGGAAAGTGAATTGCTCATGGTAGGTGATGATGCAGCAGATGAGTGAGATGTAGGATGACTTAGATAAGCGACTGTTGCACAACGTAGCTTAAAGCAATGAGAAAAAGAGAACAGGATATATTGAAAAGTTCATGAAACCAAATTGAACTGATAAATATGAATAGCTCTTAAAACAATCTTGAGGTTTCGATATTTTTCATTAGCCAATATGAACATGAATACGTTATTTTCAGAATCTATCATTAAATTAATTCTGTATTCTGGTTTGGAGAGATCCCAGCGGAGGAATAAATCAGGAAGAAGCGCCGGAAGTGAATAGGACATCTATTGATGAAAGAACATAACTGCGTCCCAAGGAAAGCCCTTACTTGGAATCCTCAACAAAAAGAGGAAAACTTAAGAATACATTACGCCGAGAAATGGAGACAGACATGAGAAGAATGAACAACGATCGGATAGAACTAGAAAGGAAGGCCCAGGATAGAGCAGGTTGAAGAATGCTGGTGTGCTGTCTATGCTCCATTGGGGGTTATAGGTGGAATTAAGTAGAAAGAGTGTTCTGGTTTACATGATATACGAACGGTTTTAAAGCTCGTAATTTCAAGACCGAAATATTTTTGACAAAGGAAGCCATACACAAAATTGTGGACTAGTTTATGTCGGAATCTTCTATATGATCATAAACAGTCTTATCAACGATCTCAGACTTCAGTCGGATTTTAACTAGCTTCGATTTTATACACAAAACAGTTGAGTCTGTTTGGTAGTAACGTCTTGCAGAGTCTCACGTTAGTTATCACGAAATCTATAGCTAAACTTCCGTGGTGACTGATGTTTTAGTTAATTTTAATCGAATCACAAATAGGAAATAATAACCCACTTGCTTGAATAATTCATTTACAAAGTACGAGTGAATGCGATTGGCTTCTAATCACCATTCATATTGAGAGCTTAAGATATAACTCAGTTGTCCAAACCGAAGAAGGGGTAGCACGGTTTGAAACTGTGATCTAACCACAAACATCACCATCATCATCAATAGAAACGTAGAACTTTGCACATAAGTACAGCAGTTCAAGTTGCCATACCACATTAGCACAGAGACACAACTGTCAATTAAAATCCCATAGTAGTAGAAGTAGTAAAAGTATTCGAAGTTATCGGAGAGATTGGGCTTCGAAGATGTTATTCAAAAAGTATAATTCAGTCAGGTAAATTTAAAAGTAGAAAGATAGAAGTGATGAGGAATTCAGAAGGTTAGAATTTTAAAGAACAGAAAGAGTATATGCACCTGCGCCATTGCAAACGATTTTGAGCTATATCATTCAAGGTCTCTAACCATCGATTATTATCATCTCGCGGACCCCAACCAGGTAGCCTACATCTACCAACATAACTCAGTCCACTTGTCAGTGATTTCATGGATTTCTGCCATGTTTTAGTCTGGCCGCCCCTAGCTTTCGTCCAACCTATTCCTATATCGCAAAACATAACTCAACAAGGCTGACTGAGTAAACACTAAAGACATATTCAATAAATTCCTATATAATGAAGTATATCTTCTTCACTACTTATCCGTCAATATCGACAACACGTTTGATGGTAAGTGAGAGTTTCTTGCGTAAAAATGGAGTTATTCTATGAAAAATGTTGCAACAATCATTTTAGAATAGGATACACCCAAAGAAACAATTTGTTTATACTTGGAGTTCATTACCCTTACAGACAATAAAACAAGCCATAGTACGTCAAAACAAAGTTACTGGACAAAACTAATTCAAAGGAATCAACAGATCCTTTCAATATATTTCAAAATTTAGTAACTAGAGCATGAAAAAGTAACATGACACAAATCATGCTACCATTAACTTTTGCTCATATAAGTTTATTACACATTGTCAAGTATTTTGTTCTTTTTTGTAAATGGGGTCGCAAACTCCATGCCCAACCCTCCTCTTTTACCCCAGCTTATGGGACTGGTAGTAGTAACCCCAGGACACACTAAAACAATTACCTAATAATATAATACAGTTTTAAACAGAGTGTTGGGATATAGCGGAAGTATAATGAGGAGCATTTGCACTACTACTGTAGTGGAGGAGAACACAGGTGGGGCAACCGAATTGTATTTAACGAAAATTACAGAGTTACTCAGTAAAATAGGAAAACCATATCGTAAATCGTGAATTTGCAAAATATCAGTTCATCATATCGAACTGGACTGTTCCTGTTGCAAAACATCAATTCATTGTCACTATTCATGAGGCGTTTCATACAAATTCCATTGTGTTCTAACTTCTTCCTTTCTTGATCTTCCCCCCATCTTCGGCTGCCAGACATTACGTTGACACTCACGTCATATACTACTTATAAGTAGCTCACACCACACTACTACTACTATTACCAACAATACTAATATAGTAGATTATATAATCATATCGTGTCCATTATGTGTTAATATGAAGCTTTATTGAAATCCAGTTTAACTTCAACTAACATTATACACGATAACAGATGATATATTATGTATACATATATGTATAAACATAATGAACTTTTTTACTAAAATCTAATCGATCACAATTATCGAATAAAAGTGCTATTATTCAGTAGTGATTGATTATGCAAAGCGATCAATATTATTAACAGGCAGTATATACAGAATAGTATGAACTTACTTCTAAACTGCTAGGATAATTATCCAAAGGATAAATGTAGGCAACTTTTACATTTTTTCGATCTAATGTAGGCTCATTTTTATGCGAATACCATTGAATAGGAGAAGAACATGGTTGACGTTCCATTTTAGACAATTCAGTAGAATTATTCAAATCACTAAATAAATAAAATACACAGTTTAAATTTAGTTGGAAATAAATTTTTATGTAATTATTCATTATGAAAATTTATGATGATTGTGATATGAAGAACTTAAATTGTTTGTGTTTACAATTAAATCTGAATGTACTGAGTGGATATGTTGAGGACTGTAAACTATCTTTGAATGAAATTCAGTCTCTAATAACAAGCTCAGTTAAATACAATGTGCTCACTGGTGACTAGCTTTCGTGAGGAAATTCTCGGAGTTCTAGAGAGAAGATGTGATCAGTGGAGTTCAACTCTGTCGGGTGTAGACAGTAACTACCGAAGACAAATGGGTCAGGTAGCGCGGAATCCCTAGATAGATCAGAGTTAAACATTAACACCGTTAGATGCCGCCGGCCCAGCTGTCCAGAGGTTAGGCGTTCACGCGCAAGACCGAAGGCTCCAGGTTAGAATCCTGTGAGGTGCAAGAGTCATGGATGCGCACTACTGACGAGTCTCATACCAGGACAAAACGACCGTCCTCCAATGCTTCGAGGTTTCTAATGATGGTCTAACAACGATTGATTGATGATTGTAATGTGTAAAAATGTACATATTTTGACAGGAAAAAGACTTAACAATAATAAATAATAATAATAATAACAACTAATCTAGAGAAAAAATAACAGCGCCGCTAAAGTAATGTCTCATACTGAGTTCATTCATTATGCCTTTAATCTATGTCGTTTGCCGATAAATCGCGACGACGATAGAAAGCATACTTGTTCATTCTATGTATCAATCATCATTACTAAAGATTATCAGTAAGAGTAAAATGTTATTATAAAATATGAATTTTTATTACATGATAGAGGTCAGCAATCATATATGCATCACACAAATAATTCAACTTCTAGATGAACTGAAATACTGTCCGCGGAACCAAAGCGACGAAAGTAGTTGTATAAAAAAGCCGTTACTCAAACCTTTCACCTCAACTAAAGGTCCGACCCACAATGTAGTGGACCGACAAGAGGAATTGGAGTTCCATGATGGTTTGTCATTAACATTGTTTATTCCCTCATGTCCTGGGACACACGATATGTCTAAGACTGGCGTCTACTCCTGTGAAATTTGAACCGTTGTCCCCAAACTCATGTTTTGGGTGACCCCGTCTAGCAATGAATCTGGAGAGAGCGCATAAAAATGAGTCAGTATCTAAGGTGTGGGCCATTTAGATGTGGACTGCTCTAATAGACAGGTAAGTGAACAAACAGCCGTATCGTTTTTCAACGACTCGCCTCCTCTCAACGTAAAATGGTCCAAAATAGTCTATACCAACAGAATTGAGTGGTGGCGACATTCCGATGGTGGAGCAATAATCTACGTGCATGGCGTATTGTTGAGTCTCTTGCATAAGAAGCACCGTCTCAGGACTCTTCGGATAGCAGCTTGAGCCTTAATGATTCAGAACTCTTCGCGAAGGCTGTTCAGAGTGTGAGTAATACCAGAATGCGCGTTCTGGAGATGAAAGTGCATTATAATCAAGTCGGTAACAAAATGCTTACTAGGAAGTATGACCGGATGTTTGCTTTCGAAGGGCAAGCACGATAATCGAAGTCATCCCCCTACTCGAATGACGTTATCCATTATGGACGGATTAAGATTCTTTATCGGGCTACTACGCGGAATGTGTGGGACCGAACCGATGCAAGCTGTTTTATATGAAAGCCACTTATCAAGCCTTTTGCCTACAAGTCCAAACTACCATGCAGTGGACCCACAGCTAGAAATGTTGTTCTATGGTAATCAGTGACCAACAATAGGTTCTTATTTTACTTGTTCCCTCATGATTGTAGAACACATGTTCACCTAGTGGTTTGGAATCAGGGTTTTCATTGCTCTAGGTGGATTAGGTGCACTCATTAATCATTTTCAGGCATCGTAAATTCACTTTTCGTGCTGCCGATTTCGTAAACAACACCTCTGCCACGAGAAGCGCAATTGATTAGGACTTACTTGAGAGTGACTGCATACACGTGAACAAATGAGAGCATTTCAAGAGAACAGACTCTCCCAAAGTCAGATGTACAAAAGAGCATTTGAGGGTTTGTTAAAGTTGAATGTTAGCATAAACAATAGCATTGATAAATAACAGTAAAGCATTAGACTTTCTGTATATACATACATCTTACACAATAAAAAAACTCACTTACTTAATAACACATGCTTGTTGAAGCGACGATGTATTTCGAATCATCATTGAATATTGATCTGTACAGCATTCATTTATAGTGCTTTGAGAAGATAAAACAGATGTATGTTGTTGTTCATTAACCGATCCATTTTTAAGTAATGGTGATGAAGTCATTGTAAATTGATTGGTTACATTTAATCTGGTCGAACTAGTTGAATTATAATACATAGACGATTGTGAATTGTTCAATGATGATGTTGACTGGGTAAATAATAATTTACCAAACATTTGATCTGATTGCGATGAATTGAATAGGCGCGCGAAACTATAATTCAAAAATTTTTTTTAAAAAAAAATAGAAAACAGAGAGAAATACATCAATCAATCAATCAATAAAAAATTTTAAGAAAACTTTACAAGTTTCTAATACGTCCACGTTTTGTCCCACTCAAATGATGCAATTTAGTTGGTTGTTGAATAGTATTTTTCAAATTGTGCGTTAATTGCACCGCTTCTTGTAATTCTAATAATTGTTCCTTGTATTGATTTCGTTCTAACAGGACACGTGCCATTTCAATGCGAGAAAATCGAAAACGCATAGACAATGGAAGATCCTGTAGTATGGTAAACATAAAAAACAGATAAAGAGATAATATATATAATAAGAGAACGAGATAGAGAGAGAGGAGTATACCATAAACTTATTTTTCATTGGAAATAGAAGAAAAAACATTATACATTGAACATGAGCACATTTCAACAAAAAAATACTGTTTATAGTTTTTTAAAAAAGCTATGTACTTATTAACATCCTAGTCATCTAATCAATCATTGAACGATAAATCAATGTTATATGTTCTACTGTTGATAATGACGAAATTCTACTAATTAAGACTATAATGTGATTGCTGAATTAGATTGCATGATTCATTTCATTGAATGTTGGACAGTTGTAAACAAACGGTGAAAAGTTCCGAATCAATCTTAATGATACCAACTTTAACATGAATACCAAGTAATAGGGGGACCTGACCGAAGCTTCTACCTTGACGTGGTGGTCGGACTTGCCTATCGTGATCACCCAACAGAGCTATACTGGCTGGAACATATGTTGTTGAAAGTTCTACCATGCCAGGAAGGTCGATTGGAGAACGGTGAGATTAAAAGCAGATACTCAAGGTCTGAGGGCGAAGTCGTACTGCTGACTGCAGAGGGGTGTGACAGCAATAAGGTGTTTCCCTCGGACAACCAGCATCTGCAGCGATGCTGCCTTCACACAAGGAAGGGTTAGAAACAGTCGAATTTAAAAATGTCACACCTCACCCTGCCTCATGGTTTTCCGTCTCCGTGGGTAAGGGTGCCCACTAAGGGCTTTAAAAAGAGCGGAGGTAACAATCAAAAAACTTCTCATAAAAAGGCCGTGCGTGACCGGCCTCAAGCAGTTGTCCGTTGGGCTCTGCGGTCACGCTCCCAGGTCTCCAAGACCAACACTAAACTATCTTCCTTTTCAGGTCCCTCAACAAACAACCTTCCACGGTGTGGCAGCCGGGAAGTGACAACCGCCCTCATACCCGTAACAGCACACGAGAGCACACGGCAAGTGAAACGCTATATGTGTACGAAATAATACTAATTAAGTGTGAATGTAGGTTTTCATTTACAGAATAAAAAAATAATCCATTAATCTAAAAAACACTGCAATGATGTCGACAACTTAAACCTTAAATAACTTAGCTGGAAATCGGTTGGAGTGTTACACGGTAAGAAAAAAGCCTTCTTTGAAGTGAAGCTGAATACCAGCTGCTCGTATACACTTGAATAATATACACATATAATCGATGGTTAGAGACCCTGAATGACATGGCTCAAAATCGTTTGCAGTGGCGCAGGTGCATTCATTCTTTGTGTTCTCTCGAATCCTAACCTTCGGAGTTCCTCATCACCTTTATCGTCTTCTTTTTAAGTTTATTTCACTAGATAATACTTCTTGAATAGTATCCTTGAACCCTAATCCCTCCGAATACTGATAATACGTCTGCTACCTCTACTACTATGGGATTTGAATTGACAATAGCATCTCTGTGCTAATGTAGTATGGCAACTTGAACTGATGTATGTACATACCAGGTTCTACGTTACTATTGATTACGAGTACTTCGCGTAGGACCCCTTCCAAACTATGATCTATAAACATGATTTTAACCAAAATATGAAAAGAAAAATGCAAATAAAAGTCCTTGGGATAAAAAACCTACTTCACCCTCCAATGTTTCATCACCAGGTACACTTCCATATAAATCGGAATTTTCAAATTCTCGACGTAATTGACCATTTTCTTGTTCTAAATCTTTAATACGTAAAAGCATACTTGCACGATTGGTAATCAAAGCGTTCAATTCAGATGAGAATTGGAAATTTTGGCTGTAATGTAAAAATCAATAAAAAATGTCACTCATGTGCATAAGAGAGAGAAATTCCAGGCATTGATTATATAATAAGTTTAACGGTGAAAAAATATCTATCGATCCAAAGCATCCTAATTTATCGACGTGGAAAAATTAGATAATCTGCTCGACCTTGAATTGTCGTTTTTTTCTGGTTGGAGAATACTGGTTGGTGGCTTATGCTCCATTAGGGATAACAGGCGTAAGTAAGTAAGTGAGAGAATCTGCTACATGCATTACACTTTCTCACAACGGGACAAAATGTCACTTGTTAGTGAAAATTTCACAAAACCAGATGTAAGAAAGACTCTATTTACATTGTTTCATTCTCACGTTTACTGTTTGATCTTATAAAACTTTTAGAAACCTCAAGCTGAAGAAAGATATGGGATTTTGGCTTGAAAACGACTTTCAATGGAGCCCTAGTTAACAGATCACAAAATGATGAAACTATATGTAAGTACACACAGCGAGACTAGTTTAATCTCCTTGAGTTAATTATTATAAAATCATTCATGACACTGAGTACAGGTGAAGAGACTTAAGTGTAAACGAGTTAACAATTATGTATTAACTATGTAGAACATTTCGCTAATAGATTTAGATATCAGTGTAAGTTAAACTGGGTTTGATCCCGCAACTTAAGTGCATACAGCTGTGATGATATTGTATATGGAATGAAACATTTATAATTATGTGAATTTGATTGTCGCCCGAGTAAAAACAACTTCTAGATCAGTTGGTTACTCTGCCTCAAGTAAAGTTGCTTCCAATCTTGGAAAAGGTATCAGTACCTTGAGGTTTACAGGAAATATGTTTAGTCAAAGGGAGCACTAAGTGGATTGCTTACAAACAGCTCACTTATTTTACTGTTTCAATAATATGTACTTCATATTTAAGAGGGAGTTTCATCAGTGCTGATGTCCTGGGGACTGAAGAAAGCTCAGAACGGATACAGAAGGCTCGATTGGCTTTTGCCAACCTGCGTCACTTATGGCGTAGACGAGATATCCGTTAGCTGACTAAAGGACGAGTGTACTGTGCAGTAGTTCGATCCGTCCTACTATATGGCTGTGAAACATGGCCAGTGAGAGTAGAAGATATTCGTAGGTTACTGGTTTTCGATCATACGTGTCTTCGAAGCATTGCTCATATATCGTGGGACACCCGAGTGGGAAACGCTGTTATTAGGAAACGGGTGCTAGGTAATAATAGCAGATCAATAGATGAAGTAATGAAACTTTAGCAGTTGAGGTGGTTGGGACATGTGCTGCGTATGCCTAACCACCGACTGCCTCGACGAGCTTTGTTTTGTAGTGTAGGAGCAGGTTGGAAGAAAGTTAGGGGCGGCCAAGCCAAAACATGACAGAAATCCATGAAGTCATTGACGAGTGGAATAAGCCATGTCGGTAGTTGTCGATTACCTGGTTGGGGTCCGCGAGATGATAATAATCGATGGTTAGATACCCTGAATGACATGGTTCAAAATCGTTCGCAATGGCGCCGGTGCATTTATTCTATGTATTCTCTCAAATCCTAATCTTCTGGATTCTTCAACCCCTCTAGTTTCGACTTTCTAAACTTTCCTCACTGAATCATATTTCTTGAATAATATCTTCTAATCCTAACCTCTCCAATTAGTTCTAATACCTTTACTACCTCTTCTACTATTGGATTTGAATTGACAGTGACATCTCTGTGTTAATGTTGTATGTCAACATGAACTGATGTACTTACGTACAAAGTTCTCCGTTGCATCTGACTGATTGACTCATATTTAAGAAATCGAATGTTCGTTAGTACTTAGTAATGTATACTAACAACTACATACACATCTAGTGATGCATTTTCCAATATTTAGACAAAAAAAAAGATTGACCTTCAGTTAGACTGAAATGAGTTCACTGATCAATTTTTCATTCAGTAAAACTCTATGCTTTGAAACATAGCTATAAAAATATAACTTCAAATTTCAACTGTCATATTTTATAGTTTAAAAGGAATTTACAACATGTTAAATACTAGATACTATAAGCAATAGTATAGGTGAGTGTTCAATAATCGTTTCCTCAATATATGATTTTATTCACAATGAGTAATAGAAATTTGTTTATCTATTAGTATGTTACAATACTAATGATATATTATATTGTAGCATATTCATATTGATCCGATACAAACACTATAATTTAATACGAAATATCTATGAGAGAAAAGCACGTATTATTGAGATTATGCTAATCCAAGATACTATGTATATTACAAGTAGAAATTTAAATATTCGGTATAAATTTCAATTTTGATCTGATCACTAAGCCTCAAATTCCGTGGTACAGCGGAGAGTGGGGAAAGTTCACACTACATTTCGAAATGCTCTTATTTGACCACATGTATAGAGCCATTGTCAGGGAAGACCTAATCACTCTTCTCTTGGTTAACGTGTTGTTTACGAAATCAGTGCTGATAGCCTGGTATCTAACGAAAACTCAACGCGGATACAGAAGGCTCGACTGGCTTTTGCCAACCTGTGTCATTTATGGATTGAGACCATCGAGTAACCAATGCTGAGGTTAGGAAAAGGATACTGGGTAAGGATTGCAAATCACTTAATGAAGTTACCT